GTTGGAAATGTGGCAGCAATTTTGGTTAGGACAGGAGAAGGTGCAGGTGGAGGCCTGGGATTCCATGTGAGCACCAGACAGTGTCTCCAGTCTCCCTTGACCTCCAAATGTAAATGAGAGACCTGTTCAGGATGATCCAAGACCAGGACTTACAGGACCTAGCTCAGTTCTGCAGTAAGAACAGTGCCCAACCCCCTTTGAACATACCCTGGCCTTTCTAGCTCTGCTAGTCCCTGGGTTTTTCCCCTGATGGGGTCATGGCCTTGAGTGTAGACTGAGGAGTGGGATAGCTGGGTTAAATGGTGGCTCCATTCCAAGTTTTCCAAGGAATCTGAATATTGTTTTCCAAATTGGTTGCTCCAATCTGCAGTCCCACAGCAATGTATGAGTGTGCCTTTTCCCCAGTTCCTCACCAACACTTAGTGTTGTTTGTCTTCATAACAACTGCCATTCTGACAGGAGTGAGATGAAACCTTGAGTAGTTTGGATTTACATGTCTCTGACTGCTAGAGATGATGAGCATTTTTTTCATATATCTGTTGACTGATTGTATATCTCCTTCTGAGAGATGTCTGTTCAATTCCTTGGCCCATTTATTGACTGGGCTTTTTTGGTGGGGGGGCGTTTAGCTTTTTGAGTTCTTTATATACCCTAGAGACTAGCGCTCTATTTGATGTGCAGGTGGTAAAAATATTTTCCCACTCTGTAGGCTCTCTATTCACCTCACAGATTATTTCATTTGCTGAGAAGAAGCTCTTTGGTTTGAATCAATCCCGTTTATTGATTCTTGAGTTTAAATAAATCTCAAAGGAAGAAACAAGGATGTTTTTGTTGGAGATCAGTATCTTTCCCGCTTCCCTTCTCATCCCATGGGTGGGGTCGCTTGTTGTTAGCTGGTATCTCTGCCCTCAGGATGGCGAAGGTAACCCGGGAGGAAGGATCGGTCCTGGGTGGAGGGTACCTGGAAGTGGGGTATGGGACCTCTCAGTCCCCAAAAGGAGACTGCACCTCAAGGATCTCTTTTGGGGCCTGCTCCTGTGATGTGAGTGCCTGGTCTTTTCTCTTTACCTCACCTGAAGACCTCCCAGTTCCTGGTCTTAGCCTGTAAACTGCATCACACTCACCCTCTCCCTTACTGCTTCCTAATAAGAGTCCTTTGTCTCTGGGGCTCTTGTGTGCTGTGTACCTGCCCTGCTAAGAGCTGTTTTGTGTTGGGCAGTCACTGTGCCAGGTTAGAGACTGCTGGGGGAGGCAGTTAGTAACTGGTACCTGACCAGCCTGAGTTCCAACGTGGGAGTTGCCCCCACTAAAGGTGGTGATGAAGGTGACCCAAGATGGAGGCGATTGCTTTCAGAGATGGGGTGTCGGTTGGGTGGGGAGAGCCAGGCGATGGCATTGGACGATGAGTTCAGAGACTGGCTCTGTGACGTGCAGCGTGTGGCTGTCAGCTGTCTTCAGAGCCTGGGTGAAGTATCCAGGTACAGGCAGGCTACCGCACATAGGGGACTATCTTCTCTGCTTCAGAGTCCCAAGATGGAGGCGACAGGGGAGCTCCCCGTTGCTAGATGGGGGTCCACATGGGAGTGGAGGCCAGAGTTCCTGCGTATGG